CCTTGAGGAGACCACTGCCTAGGGTGGGAGATAGACACATATACAAACAATTATACTACAATGTGATAAGTGTTACAGTGGAGAGGTCAGCATCTGGCTTTGAGAACACAGAGGAGGAACTCACTCCTCTGGGAGAGCTGGAAAGACACAACAGAAAGCAACATTTAGCAGTGGCTCACGGAAGCAACAGATAAAGTGGAACAGATAAAGCAGAGCCGGGGAGACAGTGAAGCTCAGTGTGGCTTCAGGTTAGGGGCCATGGCCAGGCTGTGGCATGAGATAAGGCTAGAGGAGTTGGTTGGACTAAACTGTGAAGGCCTTTGTGTATCCTGCTTTGGAGTTTGGACTCAGTCCTATAGTCAGTGGGAAACCAATCTTGGTTGTAAGCAGGGGGAGTTAGGGCAGAGAATGACATGATCAGACCTAAATTTTTAAAAGAAAGTCAAGGGGAGAGATCAGTAAAAGTCTGATTCAAAGAGCATGTCTTGCTTTTGCTTTATTTTCCCTGTGGATTATAGGTCTCCTTGTCTGTACCTTTAATGTGGCATTTATCACGGTACATTATCATCACTTGCTTGTGCACCTATCTCTGGTCCATTCCCTAAGGTCAGTAGCTAAGTCTTGTGTATCTCTTCATGCCCAGAACCTGGCACACAGGAGCAGGAAAAGACCAGTGTTAAGTGAATGGGTAAACAAATGAATAAGGAAGTTCTAAGCAAGTACAGTTCCACTTTGCCCCCAAGTAGCTCCTCTGATGCATAGTATCAAGTCTGATCATGGCTTTTCTCCTCCCTCTGACAAGCCTATCAATGTATCATTGCCCGTCATGAAAGAAGGATACATCACTCGAAGAAGGCAAGAAAGTTGCTTGCGTCACTCACTAGTGACTCCTTCTCTACCAGACAATGCTCCTGCTCAGTCCTCTCATCAAACAAGGTCAATTTTGCAAGAAGTCCCATAGAAAATCATGAGGGATCAATCTTACAGCCCCGACTTGGCTACTTTTCACTTCTTCCCCCACCTAATTTTCCATTTTTTTCTTCAGTTAACAATGTAAGACTGCATTGACATGAGGCTCTCTGCTCCCATAAAGATTTAAAGCCTTCAGAACCTTTATAGGGTTGGTATAAGCCCTGGCAGCATAGTGGTTAAGCATTGGGCTGCAATCCGCATGGTGGGCAGTTCCAAACCACCAGTAGCTCCGAGGGAGAAAGACTGGAATTTCTACTGCCATAAAGAATTACAGTCCTGGAAACCCACAGGGGTCACTGTGACATGCCAGCATTGACACGCCGGCCGTGAGTGAGATGATTTGGAATTGGCTCGAAGGCAGTGAGGTTTTATGGTATAACTTGTTCAGTTCATATTTATGAAAGGAATTCTAATATTGGAAATTAGAGGATCAACAGTGATGTGGGTAAAATATTAATATTGGCCAGAATCCTTCCCAAAGGGAAGGACCTAGAGACCCCTAATGAAGTGGTGACTATGTGCCCTTCTCTCTCCTGCCTAGCCTAAATCAAAACTCATCGCGATTGAGTCAATGATGACTCATAGTGATCCCCAGTGGGTTTCCAAGATTATAACTGTTTGTGGGAGTAGAAAACCCAGTCTTTCACCCTCAGAGCTGCTGGTCTTGAACTGGCAACCATGCAGATCCCAGCCCAACGTGTAACCACTAAGCCACCGGGGCTCCTGCCTAGCCTAACCCTCCATTTTATCTCCTTTCCTTTCCATCACTTCTGACCCCTTCCCTCTTTGTTCTCACCCCCTTTCCATTTCCCATGCTTGCTTCCTCTATTCTACTTTTCTTAGTTAATTTCACTAGTAGTCCTTTTCTTCTTGACCTCTCGGCCTCTTTCTGGCATCAGATTTTTATTTGTTTTTTAAGTTTTTTGTCGTGAATTGGGTGAAGGCTTATAGAGCAGGTCATTAGTTTTACTTTCAACAGTTCGTACACACTTGGCTTCATGTCATCCACTGCAATCCCCTCAATCAATGTACCATAGCTTATCTCACCTCCTCCCTGTGTTTCCTGTTTGTGTTCCTCTGTCTTTCCTAACTCTTTGGACTTTGTCCTTGGGTAAAGGCTGCCCTTTTGTTCTTAAATGGTTGATTATTGTAAGGTGTTTGTACCACACTAGTGTTAATGTTCCCCTTATAGACCGGTCTATCACTTGACTGAAAAGGGAGCCTCTGTAGTGAGTTCAGATCCAGACCTTAAGTATGACTAAGGGTCATAGTCTTTAGGGTTCTGCTAGTCTCTGTCTAAGTAGTAAGGCTGGTATCTTTTATGATTTTGATAAAATATTCCACATTTTTCTCCCATTCAACCCAGGCCTTTCTAATGTGATCCCTTTCAGAGCAGTTGGTAATGGTAGCCAGTTACCATCTAGTTCTTCTGGTCTCGGGGTTGTGGAGTGTGATGTTTGTATGACACATTAGTCCATGTATCCTTGGGTCTTTTGATTTCCATCACTTTTCTTTCCTTTGTCCAGGGAGAGACTAGGAGCTGTGTCTTACATGGCCACTTTTGAGCTTGTAAGACCCCAGTCACTACTCACCAAAGTAGGTTGTAAAACATTGTCTCTATGAACTGTTATTCCAATTGGCCCTAATATCCACTAAGGCTGTAGTCCTGGCCCTCAGACCCAGCATGACTTTAGATATGGGGTCCAATATTAGAGCTTCAGAATTCAACCTCATCCAACCTGAATATGTCCAAGAAAGAGGGCATTTATAAAGAAATCCAGTTTCACTACTGTCTATTGCATTCAAAACTCCGATTGCTTTGTACCATTAGAAAGTACGTTGTTATGTGCCAACAAGTCAGTTCCGAATCATAGTGACCGTATGTACAAGATAGCACTGCCAGGTTCAGCCCCATCCTCACACTTGTAGTTCTCTTTGAGCTCATTGCTACAGCCACTGTCAGTCATCTCTCCGAGGGCTTTCCTCTTTTCTGATACCTCATTCTTTCCTAAGCAGGATGTCCTTTTCCAGGTACTGGTCTCTCCTAGAAACATATTCAAAGTCTATATGATGAATTCTTGCCCTCCTTGCATCCTTTCTGGCTGTACTTCTTCCAAGACACATTTATTTTGTTCTTTTGGCAATCCGTGGGACCTTCATTATTCTTCACCAGCACCATAGTTCGAATGCATTGATTCTTTTTTGGTTTTAATTATTCAATGGCCAACTTTCACATACATAGGAGACGACTGAAAATACCATGACAGAACCCTAGTAGTGTAGTGGTTACGAACTGGACTGATAACTGCAAGGCCAGCAGTTCAAAACCACCAGCCACTCTTGAGGAGACAGACTGGACTTTCTATTCTGGAAACAGTTACTGTCATGGAAACACAGGGGGCATTCTACTCTGCCTTATAGGGTTGCTATGAATCAGCATTGACTCCACGGCAGTGAGTTTTAGTTTGGTTTGGTTTTGGTTTGGGGTCAGACATACCTTAATCCTCAAATTGACACCTTTGCTTTTCAATACTTCAAAGAGGTCTCGTGCAGCAGATTTACCCAATGCAATGTATCCTATGACCTCTTGACTGCTTTCATGAGCATTGATTGTGGATCCAAGCAAGATGAAATCCTTGACAACTTCAACCTTTCCTCTGTTTATCATGATGTTACCTATTGGTCCACTTGTGAGGACTTAGGTTTTCTTTACTTTGAGTTGTAACCCATATTGAAGGCTGCAGTCCTTGATCTTCATCAGCAGGTGCTTCAAGTTCTCTTACTTTCAGCAAGCAAAATTGTGCTGTCTGCCTATCACAGGTTAATAAGCCTTCCCCCAATCCTGATGCCCCACTCTCCTTGATATAACCCAGCTTCTCTGATGATTTGCTCAGCATACAGATTGAATAAGTGTGGTGAGAGGTTACAACCTTGATGACCGCTTTTCCCCACTTTAAACCTTATACCGTATACACTTGAGGATAAGCCGACCCGAATATCAGCCGAGGCACTTAATTTTACCACAAAAACTGCATTAAAAACGTTGAAAAACTCGGTTTATACATGAGTATATACGGTAGTTGGTATTCCTTTGTTTTGTTCATACAACTGCCTCGTGATCCATGTACAAGTTCAACATGAATACAATGAAGTATTCCAGAATTCACATTCTTCTCAAGGCTGTCCATATTTTGTTATGATCCACATTGTTGACTGCCTTTGCCTAGTCAATAAAGCACACTGGTGTTCTCTGCTTTCAGCCACTGACATCAGTAATGACATCCCTCGTTCCGCGTCCACTTCTGAACCTGGCTTGAATTTCTGGCAGCTCTCCTTCAATGTACTGCTGCAACCATTGTTGAATGATTTTCCACAACATTTTATTCATATGTGATACTTGAGCATTCTCTTGTGTCACCTTTCTTCCTAGAACCTTGTTTTTGGCTAATGCTCTCGTTGTTGCTTGAACTTTTTCCTTCATAACCATTGGTTCTTGATCATATGCTACCTCCGGAAATGGTGGACTGTCCCCTAGTTCTTTTGGTTACAGTGACTATATTCTTTCCATCTTCTTTTCCTGCTTCCGGCATCCTTCAATAGTTTGCCCATAGACTCTTTCACTATTGCAACTTGAAGCTTGACATTTGTCTTCAGTTCCTTTAGTTTAAGAAATACCATGCGTGTTCTTCTGTTTTGGTTTTCTTTTTGTATGATTTTGAGAATACTGTTAATTTCAACATACAACTACATTCAGTTATCATCATTAGTTTGAGTTCAGAGAAACAGATCCTTAAAAGACTGAAATACCCCACAGGCCATGAGATTGTTTTTTGCCTTTTCTGATTAAACAAATGTGCACCACGATGTTTCAACAAGTAAGGTAAATGCCGTGAATGTAAAAGCTGTAGTTTACAATGTGTACCACATTTAGAACACAGGGGCTGTGAGTTAGACAGAAGTGGCAGTCATTCTAATTAAATAACCAGATCACATTATGCCAGGTTAGTTTGCAGCATCAAAATTGGCCATTAAGTTTCTTTTTCCTTGATCAGAGGTCCCACGTTGTCTCCAGTCTCTTCATTGTGTTTTGTGTGAGCTCCATCACAAAATGGGAACTTTTTGGATCTCCAGCAATGGCAATACACAGGTTTATCTCCCAAGGCCTCCATGTTGAAAGCGTGTACTACCTTGGGGTTGTCTTTCTGGATATGAAGATTTACTGTGGCTTTGTGGCGATGATCTTTGACATAAAACTCTTGTAAGCCAGTAGAAGTGGTAATTGCTGCGATCCCTTCAGCTCTTACGCCGGAATTGGATGTCAGATTCATGGCTCTGTCGCTTGCAAAGCGTGGGCACAGCGTGTGAATAGCGGTAAAAAAAAGGTGCGAGGAGCGTCCTAAGAGTGCATACACAGGGCTCCTATTTTTGTTTCTAACTCTAGGACTGTACACATTTCATTATAATATTTCACTTTGTCTTCTTGAGCTACCCTTTGGAGTTTACGATTCAATTTTTTGACATCATCATTTCTTCCAATTGCCTTAGCTACCCGGTGATTAAGAGCAAATTTCATAGTCTCTTCTGACACCCACTTTTATCTTTTCTTTCTTTCTCTCCTATCTTTTTAATGACATTTTGCTTTCTTCATGAATGTTGTTTGTGGTGTCATGGCTCATCAGGTCATCTGTCAATATTGTCCAATGCAGCAAATCTGTCCTTAATATGTTCCCGAATTCCAGGTAGAATAGACTCAAGGCTGTATTTTGGCTCTTAGGAACTTGTTTTCATTTTCTGAAGCTTCAACCTGAATTTCCATATGAGCAATTGATGGTTTGTTCCACATTCAGCCCCTGGCCTGGCCTGGTAATAGCTGCTAATATTGAGCTTCTCCATCATCTCTTCCCACAGATAAAGTCAATTTCGTTTCTGTGTATTCTATCTGGAGAAGTTGGTGTATATAGTCACCTTTTTCTTTTGTTGAAAAAAAAGTATTTTCTATTAATAAGTCATTGGTCTTGCAAAATTCTATCATGCAATCCCCAGCTTCATTTATACCACCAAGACCATATTTTCCAAGTACTGTTCCTTCCTCTATTTCCAACTTTTGCATTCCAGTTGCCAATGCTTATTAATTCATCTTGACTGCATGGTTGATCAATTTCCAGCTATAGACATTGGTAGAATTCTTCCATTTCTGCATCACTCGCTCTGGTGGTGGCACATGAATTTGAAGAATAGTTGTATTGACTGGATTTCCTTGTATGTGAATAGATGTTATCCTGTCACAGACAGCACTGTACTTCCAGATAGATCTTGAAATATTCATTTTGACAATGATGTGATGCTATTCCCCTTGAATCTGTCGTTCCCAGCATAGTAAGCTGTGTACCAGTGCATTTCAGCTGACTAGTGCCTAGACTGTCCATCTTTATGGGTTCCATTTAATTTTTTACAGCTTCCCATTTTTCTTAATTTAAACTTCATATATTCCAAGTTGTAGTTGCTAATTGATGTTCACAGCTGTGTCTTCTCATTTTGATTCATGTTCCACCAGCAAATTAAGCTCCTGAGGGCTCTTCTCTCCCACGCTTTACTCCATCCCCGGCATTATTACTCCATCCATGTCATTAAACTTTGAGAAGGCAGCTTTTCCTGGATCATATTTTGAGTGCCTTCTGACCTGAGAAAGTCCTCTCCTGGCACTATCTCTGACAATGCTTTGCTTCTATTCATCAAGTTTTCAGTTTCTGACAGTGTTTCTGTGCTCTCCATAAGGTTTTCAGGGACTGATGAAGCACTGGAAGCACTCACTCATCTATGCCAAGAAATTTGGGAGATAGCTGCTTGGCCAACTGACTAGAAGAGATCCATATCTGTACTCATTCCAAAGAAAGATAACACAACAGAACACGCACATTAGAATATCGTATCATTAATATCACATGCAAGTAAGGTTTTACTGAAGATCATCCAACGGGGGTTGTAGCAGTTCATTGACAGAGCTGCCAGAAATTCAAGCCAGGTTCAGAAGAGGATTTGGAACAAGGGATATCCCTGCTGATGTCAGACGGATCTTGGCTGAAAGCAGAGAACACCAGAAAGATGTTTACTTGTGCTTTATTGATTAGGCAATGTCATTCAACTTTGGCTCATAACAAAGGATATGGACAGCCTTGAGAAGAATGGGAATCCCAGAACACTTCGTTGTGTCCCTGTGGAACCTGTTCATGGATCAAGAGATAGTTGTGCGAAGAGAACAAGGGCATACTGCATGGTTTAAAGTCAGGAAAGGTGTGTGTCAGGGTTGTATCTTCTCACCGTATGCTGATCAAATCATATGCTGATCAAATCATCAGAGAAGCTGGGTTCATGTGGGAGGGGGGAGCGGGGAGGGAGGGGAAAATGAGGACCTGATGCGGGGGGGCTTAAGTGGATAGCAAATGTTTTGACAATGATGAGGGCAATGAATGTACAAATGCGCTTTACATAATTGATGTGTGTATGGATTGTGATAAGAGTTGTATGAGCCCCTAATCAAACTATTAAAAAATAAATAAATAAATTTTTTTTAAAAGAATGGGGCATCAGGATTGGAGGAAGATTAATTAACCTGTGACAGGCAAATGGCACAGTTGAAGTGTCCAGAGTAAGGCAAACTTGAAACACTTGCTGATAAAGATTAAGGATTGCAACCTTCAGTATGGGTTACAAATCAAAATAAAGAAAACCCAAACCTTTACAGGAGTAGAAAGCCTCTCTTGTTGAGGGCCTGGTGGTTGCACACTGCTGATCTTGTGGTTAGGAGCCCAAAATGTAATGCACTACACCAAAAGGATGCCTGTATTTAAGGCCACATAGCTAATAAATCTCACTGCCATCCAGTCAATGCTGACTCATAGTGAGTCCCTGTGGGTTTCTGAGACTGTAACTGTTCACGGGAGTAGAAAGCTGAGTCTTTCTCCCACATAGCTGCTGGTGGTTTTGAACTGCCCACCATACATATCACAGCCCAACATGTAACCACTATGCCACGAGCAGCTCCACAGGAGAAAGACTGGGCTTTCTACTCCTATAAACAGTCACTGTCTCAGAAACCCACAGGACGTCACCGTTAGCAGTGAGAGGGTTTTTTAATTTCTAGGTAGACCCGCACACAGTTACAATCTTGGAAATCCACTGGAGACGTCCAATTGTGAAGCAAAGATACAAGGTTAGGTCCTTATGATTCCAAAAATCCTACTCTTTAACCACTATTCATGGAAAACAAAGCCTATGGGGCCAGAAATCCAAGCTCACATCAATTATTTTAACACTATGATGTTGAACATGTCGCTTAATTTGTCCAATGCCGCACACATTGTAATGTGACCCACACCACACAGTTTAGTGTTGATTATTCTTAAGAAGATGTCATGGTAGCATGTGGATTAAACATTGGACTGACTGTTAGTGCAATGTCAGTGGTTCAAACTCACCAGTTGCAATGTGGGAGAAAGGCTGTGTGCTGCTGTAAGGATTTACACTTGGAAACCCTGTAGAGCATTTCTCCTCTTTCCTATAGTGTCACTATGAGTCCAAATCGACCCAATGGCAGTGGATTCCAGTAAATAAAATTTTGGATTATAAGCTTCTGGAGAATAGTCACCAGGTCTTAATTCTTTTTTTTTGGTACTCATCTTCCCCCAGGTCTTAGAATAGTGCTCGGCATTGAAAACACAGACACAACTATGGGCTAATGTGAGGACCTTACAATATAGAAAATACAGAAAAGGAATATATGTATTTGTTTTTAATAACTGTATATTTTAACCAATGAAATAAAACTAATTTATAATAAATATTTTCTTTGATTATATTTGATTGATTCTCATTAAGTTAACATTTAGTTTACTTAACTGTTTTGCTTAATGAACATTTCTGTACCAACAGTTAAAATATCTTAAACAACTAAATATTAAAATTATTCCCATGCCCTCTTCTTTCACTCACTGATTGATGCAAATAAACAGTTCTTGGCACAACTATGTATTGGCATATAAGCTTCACCATCAAGCAGTTCTTAAGTACCTACTCTGTGTTCAAACTATGAAATGAGTACTAAAGGAAGGATACAGATGTAATCTGCATAGATACCAGGTATTCCTCCCAGCAACTAAGAATTCTGTTTTCCTTCCATTCTCATGTCTAACATCTCATCTAATATCCTGTATCTGCCTCTGGTTCTCTCTCCCTGATGCCTCGTTCATTCTCTGGATGTTCCTAATCTCTCATCCCCCCTGATCTGCTAGCAATTGCCTTTGATGTGCTGCTCTCTGCCAGTTCAAGTCAACAACTAATGGACTTATTACTTTTGTTTGTGTTGTGAAGCCACGGCAATAAAATTTACTCCCAATAATGCCACTGCCATTTTATGGCCTTAAAATGTACCATAACTGAGGGGGGGAAAAGTACCATAATTGATGTATCTGGGGTAACTGAATTTCTTATAATTTTTTCTGAGAAAAAGAAAGCCTTTTTGTTTCCATCATGGTTGGAGCCAGGTTCTTTTATGGAGTAATCGGTGGTATGGGAAATCTTGAGAAGCATTATACTTGGCTAGGTTATAAGAGATGCTTCAAAGTGTGGGTCCTGTGTTTTTCTGGTTGTGATGACTTCTACTCACAGTATGATTCGTAAAAAATAAATACTCTTTCTGGCCAGGGCTCTCATTATATTCGGTGGCATAACCTCTCGAACTGGAGACAGAATAAAGTCTTAAAGAGTCTGTGGCATACAGGCACCAACCCCGGGCATACCCTACTATACTCAAATATATTTTTAAGACAAAGGCTTTGATTTAACCACAAAAAATTGAGAGCTACTTGGGGTATTGTAAACAGTGGGGTGAATAGAAGTAGTATCAATCTATTGACAAGGAGACAGAGAGGCTAGTTAGCCACAGGAGCATTTGCCAGCATTACAAATATATGCCTTTAAGCATCTTTCTGGTAGCCCTGGGTTATAAACTGGACTTCTAATGGCAAGGTCAGCAGTTTGAACCCACCAGTCATTCTGTGGGATAAAGATGAGGCTTTCTGCTCTCATAAAAATTTACAATACTGGAAACCCAAAGAAATGGTTCTGCTCTGTTCTATAGCGTTTCTATGACAATGATGTCTCTCAGGTGAACCAGAGACATATATAAACCATAGATATATGAATGGATTTGGAGTTTACACTTAATTCTAGTCCCAATCTAAGAATAATTCATTCTTATGACATACTCCTGTTTGGAGTCTTAAAGGTTTGTCTTCAAGCCAGCTGCCATCTAAGCGAGATGTTACGTAAA